AGCCTGCTGGGACAGAGTCCGGCGCGGCCCCATGGCAGCCCTGTCCCATTAGCTAGACGGTTCCCCTGGCCGGGAAGGGCCCCTGGGCGAGGGCCGTGCCCATGGCTATAGGGACGTGGCACTGAGCTCCCTGCCAGTGTCCCCGGCACCAGGCTGCGTGCCCCTTGCGAGGCCCCTCCCCGCCGCGCTGCGAGACACCAGGCGGGGCAGAGAGCACAAGGACACGGCGAGGTGGGCCCCTGGGCTCATGCGGCTGCCCTGGCCGTCGGCAGAGCAGAGGGAAGGTGCTTGGGGAGGAAGCTGAGCCCCCTCCTCCCAGGGCATCGCTCGGGGGCAGAGAGTGGAGTCCCTCCAGCTGGCAGGCCAGGGGGTGAGAGGGAGGAATGGGCAGTGAGAGAATGTGCAACCACTAGGCCAGGCTGCCCCAGCCCGCACCTGCCCCCAGGCTCTCCCCTTCCTGTTCCAGGGCCCAGGCTGTGCTCCGAGGCAGGCAGGGCGTTTTCCTCGGGGAGTATCTCCCGCAGCCAGGAGCAGCTCTGCTTGAGTTCAGCTTCCCTCCCAGCCGCCTTCCCTGCGAACCAGAGGACGTGCTGGAGCAACTCAGCCCAGGGCCCCTCTAGCCTGGTGTCCCGTCGTCAGTAGCAGATGCTCCAGAGGGAGAAACAAGAAGTTCCCTGGGGGAGTTGTGAGGCCGGACCTAGCCTGGTCAAACCCAGTGATGTGTCTCTAGCCTGCCGCCTGCCCAGGCCTGCGAGCGCTGTGCTGTCCTGTGGCAGAGAGTTCCACAGGGCAGGGTTAGCCACTGCCTCTCTGGTACGTCACTGCCAGACTCTCACACTGGAGGGGCGGGCGTTGTTACCCCACCTGGCGCTCAGCTCTGCCCCACCTGCATCACGTGCCTGGGAGTCTCCTTTTCCCTGGCAGCTGCTGCCCTCGGCTGACGTCACGGGTGGGCAACCAGGAGCCGACCCTGCCCCTCTGTCACAGCCCCCCCCTTAGAGGTGGGCACACAAGGCCGGGGGCCCACGAGGAGCTGGGATTAGAACCTGGCTCCCAGCCCCCTGCTAGGATGCTAGGCAACGCTGCTCCCCGGGCTGGGCTCAGCTCTCCGCTCTGCGGGGCCCCCGGCTGGCCTGGGGCAGCGGTGGGAGAGGCGGGGCCAGGAGAGCCCGGGATCTCTCGCAGTCAGATCCCAGCCCCCCCCCCTCGGCCCCCTGGGGGCTGGTGGGGAGCAGCTAGCGGGACAGGGGTGTCTGCTTGAGGGAGATGAGCACGGAGCGCATCCGCGACACGTCCTTGCACTGCTTGCTGCTCTTGGGGTTGAAATCGCACAGCTGGGCCACCTTCTCCCACTCCGTGCCGGGGTCTTCCTCCTCGCACTCCCTCAGGAAGGCTTCCTCCGAGCCTCGGCCCCCTGGGGGCTGGTGGGGAGCAGCTAGCGGGACAGGGGTGTCTGCTTGAGGGAGATGAGCACGGAGCGCATCCGCGACACGTCCTTGCACTGCTTGCTGCTCTTGGGGTTGAAATCGCACAGCTGGGCCACCTTCTCCCACTCCGTGCCGGGGTCTTCCTCCTCGCACTCCCTCAGGAAGGCTTCCTCCGAGGCCCTGGGGGGCAGGAAGGTGCGGGGCTCAGTCCCCAGGGGCTGGGGGAGTTGTGGTGCCAGCGGGCAGGACCCCAGGGCTGCCCCACTCACCCTGCACCTCCTCTCCTGCCCTGGCTGGGCCCTCCC